GCAGAGATAATAGTAATTTTAAAAAGAGGTAATTAGTAATTCCAAAGAGCTGTACAAGGAAGGAAATCCAATCGTAGTGCACGCTGCATGCCTAGCTGTTGAGACACTATAGAATTTGTTCATGTACATATAGAATGCCTTTTGCATCATCATCTGTGACAGAGCTCATTGTATTCCAAGTATGGGAAGGGAAAAGGGACTGGGAACGTCGAGTGTATTTGTGAGGAGGTAGTGTAAGCGATCCAAAGAGTCTTTCTATAACATTGAATAACTGAAAGATTGAGAGACAGCAGTTTGTGGAGATAAATGAGGACACTTGAACCAAGGTGGTGGCTCTGAGAAGCAGAAATTAAGAACAGAGTAAGCAGAGCAGGGGATTGCTAATTTTTTTTTTTTATTTACTCACAAGCCTTGCCATACTGTTTGACTTTGTAAATTTGTACATGTATTACTTGGATAAAGCGAGCAGGACATATTTTAGGAGACTGAACTAATGAGCCTCAAGTTTCCAAAGTTAAGGCAAATACATGGCCAAAGACATTTCCATAATGGTTCTGAATGCTGGAGGTCTCTTCTTTCTTCGGGCATCGTATGGCTAAAAAGCTTGTAATAATATACCTTACAGATTTTGGTAAAAGAAAGGTAAGGGGAAAACATACACACTTTCGGTACACACAGCCACCCAGGGAAAACACGAAGAATGAAGTAGCAGAGTAGTCTAGGACTTAACCAAATTCTTTAAGTGTCAGTACTAAAAGGCCACCTCACACGGCAGGCCTTATCCTCTTTCCATCAGTCCATACAGGAATTATTCTTGGGCTCTGGGTCGGCGTGTGATTTTCCTGGAGCTGGGGCCCTCACTCACCTTTGATTTACTTCTGTCATAGTTCCTGCCTTGTTTTTTGTTTGTCAGACACAGGGATTGGGTTTGCCTTCCCAGCAATCTCCTCGTTGCTGCACTGGTTCAAGATAACCACCTCCTATCAATGGATTCTTTTTTCCACTGGCTTTTCCAGTTCTTCTATTTGATTTCAAGAGCAGCTTTGTGTCATTTGTGCTAACATTGTCTCCATAAGAGTTGACAATCAACTGAAAACATTGATTCTGCCCCAAATTTTGATAATGACCAACAGATGGTTTATTAAACACCCTTATGTTTAAGGCACAGTGTTAGGCAGTATGCAAATATTCACTAGAGAGACAGACAGAGAGAGAGAGAGAGAGAGAGAGAGAGGAAATGAATGGATAATGGATAGACAAGTGTAAAGTAACTTCAGGTTATTTCATCACAGACACACAGATTTGAAAAATTACAGCACAATCCATGAAGTTCACTCCATAACAAACAGATTGAAGAGTTAAAGAAAAGAAAAGAGGGAAGGGAGAAATGATCAAAGAAGAAATAAAAGAACATGTCTCAGAGAAAATGGGAAAACTTACATTGGTGAAAACTTCATTGATACTTTCATCATCACAATTTTAGCCTAAATTTTACAGGAATTAGGAGAGAATGGTAGGGAGTGAAGAAGGGGTGTGGAGAGAAAAAGGAAGAGAGACTGAGAGTGGAAGAAAGGTTTTAGAACTAATAAATATTTATTCGTTTACTAATATGAGTAAACGAATAGGAAATATGGTTTTACCTCAATTAACTGACAAATCAGTTCAATCCAAAATGTTCTTTTTAAAAAAGACTTAGCAACATGCGAAGTTTTTTTTTTTAAGTAGGCAGCTTCTCTTCCTTAAAAGTATACTTTTCCTGATGGTAGAATGAACACACATATATGATAGAAAATTTATGAAATTCAGTGAACTATGAAGAACAAAACAAAAACCATTCAACTTTTTCAACTGGAAGTACCATTCTTAACATTATAGATACCCACCATTTTTCTCTACGTTAAACAGCACAATTTTTTTTTTTTTTTTTTTTTTTGGTGGGACTGCTTGCAAAGCAGGCGCTCTACTGCTTGAGCCATGCCTCCAAGTCCATCTTGCTCTGGTTAATTTAGAGATGGGGTCTTGAGAACTACTTGCCCAGGCTGGCCTGGAGCTTAGAGCTTCCCATTTTGCCTCCCAGGTAGGTAGGATTACAGGCATGAGCCGATGGCGACTGGCTAAACCATACAATTTGGATTGTAACATATAAACTGTTGTACAATCTGCTTATCTTATTCACATTAGGAACACTTCAGGTGAGTAATCGTTATTAGGACTTTCATGCACACTGTGCATTTTTCCAAAATACTTATTTTGGTGCCACTTTGTCAGAACCAGAAGTACCGCACTGAGTATAATCTTTGTTTAATCCTATCATTACACGGAAGACGATGTAAATCCTGAGGAGGAGAATTACTAGATAAAATGTTTAAAAATCTGAAAGCTTATTTTTGAGTTTCTATTTTTGGTTTTCTCTCTTTTTTGGAAATACCAAGGAAGTGAGTGCATTTCTAGTTATTTCTGAGAGAAAAGGCATTTTTTACAAGCGTCCCAAATAAGTAAATACCCAAATAACTTTCTTGAAATGACTGTGTCTAGAAGACTATTAGTGTAAATTAGTGGCGATGGAGCTCAAGCCACTAATTTACACTGTGTTGAGTTGATATGATCATTGTGGCCAAGAAAGAATAAAGTGAGTTTTCACTAGCAACAGCAGGGTGCGGTGACTCATGTCTATAATCCTAGCTACTCAGAAGGATCGAGGTTTGAAGCCAGCCCAGGTAAATAGTATACAAGACCCTATCTCAAAAATTCCTTCACAAAAAAGGGCTGGTGGAGTGGCTCAAGGTGTAGGCCCTGAGTTCAAACCCCAGTACTGTTTAAAAAAAAGGAAAAGAAAGTGAATTATATTTTGTATCTCTTCTGTAACTGGGTATTTGCACAAGGTATCTGCATAGCATGTAACTATTCTGAGAGCTATGTCAGTACCACTCCGCGATCAGATCAAAGCCTTTGCAGAAAGATGCGCACGTGTTTATCTATGTATTTTGAAGTCCTTTCAAACGGGCTGAGTTAGTGCTTCGTTTAAAGGCATGCTTTCACTTGATGGTGCTTTCTATGAGGTTAAGAAGTAATTATTCAGTGGATGCCTTGCCAGGGAAGACTCTGCCCATCCTAGCGCATGGGAGGGAAGGAAGGAGGAGGAGCACAGACTCGATGGGGAAAGCCATCCCCTGCTTCTCCCCCAACTGAGCCCTTTGTGGTTGAAGGTTCAGAGACTCACTTAGGCAAGTGGAAGGACCCAGAATGAGCACATTTAAAATTCACGTTCCAGCAAAGACAGACACTTTGTCCCAAGTTAGCACATTTCCAAAGATTTTTGGTGAGGATGGGAGGAGGGTAGGTGTCTCATTGCAGCCAGCTGTCTGCAGAGCCTTGATTTGGAATTAATCATCTTTGGTCTGGCTCAGAGGAAACACTGGGATAAGCCGTGAATGTAGAGCGCGATTCATATTAACAGGAACGACAGATCGTTTGACAGCTGTGATCTCATAAACCCCGTGACGCATCTGAGGGACTGCAGACATCGCTGCGTATTGCCGGCTTTTGCCTGCTTCAGAACCTAATCTCCAAATGCAGGAAATGTCACCCTTTTCAGTGATTATATATATTTAATGAAACCAAGATAAAACATACAAGTTCCCATTTTAATGATGTTTTTCTACTAGCTACTGGTTGCAGTTGATGTAAAGACGAGCTTTAGTGTATTAAGAGAGGCAGAATTTCTTTAGAGCCAGCCGGTATGTACAGAAAAGAGACGCCCCTGTGAGGGTTGGGGTTGGAAGGCTATCATGGACAGGAATGAAGCTTCTGTCAAGCCTGGAGGTGAGGATGGGAACAGGGCTGCGAGTGGGGTGGGGCACCCTCTGAGAGCAAGGCCAGATGATCTTCCCAGTGCTCCTAAGGCCTCCAGTTGTGGCCACACAGTCCACCTGTAGTGTAGACAGGAGGATCTGTGAAGCAGACTTCACGAAAACTCCCTCTAGAAGGACCACCCATGTGTGCGGTCCACACAGAATGGGCACAGAACAACAGGTGGAGTAAAGTGATTCCCCATGAACTCACCTGGGTCAGGAAAGGGCACTATCAGGTCTATTTCTGAGTTCCTTCTTTCCTTCAGGGTAGGTGAAATGTTAAACTAAAGGAGCTTTGGCTGCTAGTCACTGATCAGGCTGAGAAAGAGCCAATGCTTGTAGATCAATATTCACCCCACAACTGGTGGCCACTTGCTTTTTTTTGTGCTACATTATCACAAACAAACTAGGACGTCACAAAGGAAGACAGTGGGCAAAAGGAGAATTCAATTCAATATAGCAGTAAGATATATTCACTGCAAAACTTGCCTGAGTTACAGTTGAGTGGGGCGGACAAGGGGATGCTGTATTCCCAAGTAATGTGATTGACATATTAACTATTGCTAGTCTAGCTGTAAAAGTTTAAACAGAGTGGTCCTCCAAAATCCACCCTCCACTTCACTTTGAAAATCCAGACAGCACTCCCATATTTGAACATGGAAACTCCAAATCTCCCATCATTCCCAGCCAGCTGAAGACTGCTTAGGACCTTATAAAACAGCTGTCGATAGCCTCAAACATTCCTGCCTTTCTACCGCTCACAGTCTCGGATTGGAGGACCAGGGAAAGAAGCTCTAAAAGCAATGCCATGTCTGATCATGTGACCCTGGCAGCCTACCTCCCTTAGAGTGAGAACTTTATATAATTTTTGGTTTCTCTTCTGAAGACAGGAATAGCAGGACTAGCAATTTGGATATCAACTTCTAGATATTCAAGTACAAGAAAGTTGATTGGGTCACCCTTTTCCATCTCTTAGAAGACAAGGGGAAAATACCCAAGGGCCGCAGGCATGAAGAGGCTTGTTGAGAAGAGAAGGATATCTGCAGGTGATCAGACTGCACTCCAACCAAAGCCTGGAGAGCATCACACATCAACAGCCTAAAACGCACCACGAGAACGGCTCCAAGTTCACCTCAAGTGCACACTTACCTGACCGTGGGATGGAAGTGCAGCGTAGGCCATGGGCTGACTCATCACTCCTTTCTGCTTCATGAGAAGCATGCGTTTCTGGTCCTCACTCAGGTGTGCCCTGGGAGCCTGGAGCTGCGGTGGAGGTGGCGGCTGCTGCTGAGGGGGCTGCTGAGGTTGTTGGGGTGGTTGCTGCTGGATATATGGCATCAAGGGGGTCTTGTTAGGGTTGGCCATTGGGGGCGTCATTGTCTGACTCAAGTCTGCGTTAAAATGGGTCAGAGGTTTAGTGTTGCCGTAAGTGAGAACATTGTGCTGTTTGGTCAAGGAGCTGGTACCCAAGTTATTTGGCTGCTGATTGATCATAGTCACGTGATTTGGAGGGAGGTAGTTATTCATTGTGGTCTTCTGCAGGTTGCTGGCCATCGCAGGCACTATCGGGGTTTGGCTGTTAAAGGTTTGGGGGTACATCATTGGGCTATTTGGTTTTTCTGCAGTAAAGGCTGCTCCATATGGACTGGATGGAGGCCCCAGGGGAGACCATCTGGAAGTCTGGTTTGAGTGCTGCTGTGGTGGCTGCTTCTGTTGCAGGAGCTTGGCCCTTTGCTGTTGCTGGGCAGCCATTTGTTTGAGCTGCTCTGCTGGAGACATGTCGGAGCTGGGCCCAGCCACAGGGCCTGACCCTGACCCTGCCACCGTCACTGCTGCTGGATTGAGGAGATAACCGTTGCCGGGCCGAGGTGGCCCTTGGCCAGGCGTGTGGGCTTGGTTTGGAGTCTGAGGGGACTGCACAGCACAGTTGGCTGGTGAGTTGGCAGAGTTTGGGGCCGCAGGAGTGCTGGCCACTGAGGGTAGGCTAGTGGCTGTGGAGATTGTAGAAAAGGAAGGACCAGAAGATGAAGGCCTGGCCTGGGGAGAGCCCACGGAGACATGTGCAAAAGGAGAGTGAGACGGGTCGCTCTTCACACTCACGCTCTCTTGGGACAGAGAGGTCTCTGTGGTTGCCTGTGAGAATTCTGGCTCCTTCTTCTCTTCGAAGTCTTCATTGAACAGGTCCTGTATGTCATCTTCGGGAACCGTGTTGGCCAACTCATCAATTAATTCTTGCCACTCCTGGTCATTCAGGTTGATGTCTGAGAAGAGCTTGTTCTGATTAGAAAGCGATGTCTCTGATGTGTCTATGCAAGTGGGGTCATCTAGAGGCTCCTGTTTGAGGTCCTTGCTCTGCAAGATGGTGAAGCTATCCTCCAGGTCGCTGCAGCCATTGACAGGAAGTTTAATCTCGGGGAGCCGACCGTTCTTACTTAGATCTTCTAGAAGCCCAGGGGTGTGAGTGCCACTGTTCTGCAAGGGCAAAGAAGGCTTCAGGTCAAGTTGGTGGAGAGGAGAAGCTGGAGGCAGTGACATGTTGCCGGGCAAGTTGTTGATGGCTTCCATCCCCGCGGCAATGTCCCTTCGCATTCTCTTGCTTGTTGGAGAGAAACTCCCGTCACAAGCACCATTCTGCTGGTCTCCATTGAGGGGTGACCGGGCTCCTTCCAGCTTCCTTTTTACAGTCTCTTGCAGCTGGAAAAGAAACAGGAAAGTGGACGATTGAATCTCCAAGTCATATTGCACTCTAAGTACCATGACTACGAACTGACTTCTAAATGCTTCAGAGCACATGAGAAATGACACTTCTATTTCAGCATCAGCCAATACATCCCTTCTTATGCCACGGGAAAAGGTTTTATCTAAAGGCAGACCTTGGAGGGCTCAGAGATAGAAAACAAGGGAAAGATTGGAGAGTGGGAACAAAAGAAAAGATTGCAGGGAAAGATCAGGTTTCAAATGAATGCTAGACACAAGACTTGGACCAGAGTATATCATACTTGAGAAAGGTGTTAGTACCTGTCTTAAATTCTTGCCACACTTTAATCGAGCACATCAAGGAGTAGCTAAATCAGCAACATTGTGAAGGAAGACTTAAAAAGTCTCTTAAGAATATGGAACGCAACCCGTTATTGGAATGGCATGCAACTGGAGATTAATATTTAGCACACCCCAGACTTCCTTTCAGTTCTTAGTTTGCCTCTTTCAACACTGTTTGCTACAGTAATCTGCTGTCTTCTAAGGGCACGTTTCCATTGGCCTCCATGTCACCACACTCATTTAGATTTTCTCTTCTTTCCACTTGCTTATTCTCACTCTTATATATTCTTTGTTTTAAATGTTGGGATTTCTTTTTTTGTGTGGTAGTGGGACTTGAACTCAGGGCCTCCACCTTGCACCACTCCACCAGCCATTTTCTGTGATGGGTATTTTTGAGATAGGGTCTTGGGAACTATTTGCCCAGGCTGGCTTCTAACTGCCATCCTGCTGATCTCTACCTCCTAAGTAGCTAGGATTACAGGCATGAGCCACTGGCTCCTGGCAGCATTGGAATTCTTCTAAGCTTTATCTTAAGCTGTTTTTCCTTCTCACTCTACATGATTCTGTAAATTACTTTATTTATTACAACAACCTCAACTATTTTCTGTAGGCTGATGGCCCCCAAATGATGTTCAAACCTGATCTTCTCTGCAATGACCCACTAAGTCTAAGTTCTCCTCTTGGATCCTCCACAGACCTCTAAAACTCAACAGTCTCAACACTGAACTTATTATCATGCACTACTCACACACGATCCTCACCAGTGTTCCCCATGTCAGTATCTACCCAGTTACCCAGGACAGAATTCCAGCATGGATTTAAAACCTGCACATCACCAATTACCACGTCTGTAAGTATCACTGTAATATGCCCACCCATGTCTATTCACACTGCCGCTCTCCTAGACCAGGGCACTGTATCTTTTGCTGGGTTGTCCAAGCAGTCTTCTAACTGGTTCCTTTGCCTTCTCTTCTTTCATCCATTCACTCATCCCTTCATCTTTTCTTTTCTTCATTGTTTTGTTCTTTCTACTATGTAGTCCAGGCTGGCTTTGAACTCCTGATCCTCCTGCTTCAGCCTCCTGAGTACTGGGATTACAGGCAAGCACCACCATCCTCTGCTCAGGTTCATCTTTTGCCTTTCTACTCAGCATCACCATCCCCTCATGCACTGTACGTTTTCCATCAATGCTTCAGAAATTCTTGTCAAGTTCTTAAATGTGCCAAGCTTCCTTCTGCCTCCAGGGTGCACACTGTACATGCCCTTTTCTTTGCTCAGAACATACTCCTTTCCCTGGTTAACAGCTGCTTATTTTTCAGGTCAGATCTCAAATACCCTTTCCCCTCCCCAGTTACATTAGGTGCCTTCCTTGACCTGCCTCAACTGGAGTCAGTTTTGCTAAGCAATCTGCACTTCTCCATCATGACTTTTATCACGCTTCAAGACAATGGCTTGTGTGTCTGTTTAGCCAGCTCCAAGAAGGTAGGGGTATGGCTGACTTGCTTACTGGGTGTCTGCAGGACTGCACTCAGTGGTCAGGTTCTTAGCAGTGGATGGTAAATAACCACAAATTGAATGAATAATTCTTTTGTCCAATTCACATAGCTACGAGAGGGAATCTGAAACAGAGCAGAAGGCGGCCCAAGGACCATAAGGACTGCCTAATTTTGAGACTCTTCATCCTGGAATGGAAGCGTCACATGCACTTCACTGGACTCATTTAAGAAGTCCAGATAAGAGAACTTTTCCTTGGCTCCATGGGTTTACTAGTTTCAAACCTAATTTACTTGCTTGGCACCTTGCCTTCTGCCAAAAGGGCTGTGCACATCGCTCTGGTCACAGAGTCTGGCATTCAGTGGGTGCTGGGAGATGCCTGCTGGGTGATACAGGGGGACCAGGCTGGGATGGAAGGGGCAGAGTGGTGCAGGGGAGGTGGGAGAAGGCAGAGCCCTCCTTCCACCTGGCTGCCCTCCCGTTCTTGCCAAAGGTGCTCTGAATTAGAGAACCTTTGTGAGGAAGGAATAGACGTCCCTCTGACCCACACCTGGGCACACTTGAGCTGCCAAGGTTCTGGGGATCCTGTGTAGAGCAAAGCCAATCTGGAGATGGACACAGGGTGTGAGTTTCAGAGGGTGTCATTTTACAGCCGTGTGCCTTCTCATAAGCAGAGAACTCCATTTTCAAGGTAAGCAAAGTAGAAAGGGGTCTTGAGAAAAACTCCAGTCTAATCCGTGTTCCTAAATCTTGTATTTTTAATCACAACACCGGATCCTGTCCCAGTCACTTCGAAGAGGCCCTTGAATTGCTGAAAACAGGGCCCTAAGTGGGACACACTGAAATTGGACATTAAAGAAAATACTGGTTCAATCCATCGTATTAGGTAGACCCGCTAGAAAATGATGTTATTTGTGGAACAAACCAGAAAGCCTGATTATGATCATAGGTATGACAGACACTTCAACATACGTAGCTCCAAACAAGGCGGCAAGTTCAGGTATCACGGCTTCAGGGTCTAACGGAAATGAGGCTCCCGAAGTGATGTCAAGCTTCAAAACATAGGCACTTGTCTTATAAAATGAGCCTGACTTTATTTTAGAAAGCACGGGTCCATGATTCTATTCTAGGTCATGTACTGGATGAGCAGGACAGAGGAATAAAGATGTTTGCTCTACTTGTTCCCCTGTAAAATGGTGGTGACTGAGCCCACAGAGAAAGGTCTGGCTGGGAACCCCAAGATTCACCTCTAACCAGCTGAGTGGGTGAACCAGTAGAGCGCAGTGTTACAGAAACAGAAGCACAGCTCTAGAGTCAGAATGCAGGTCAAAGCCAAGGTCCTCTTCCCAAGAGTTAACACAGGTAGATGTTGTTTTGTACTTCATAAATGATGGCTGTGATGCCCTTCATCAGAAAGGAAGTTAGGTGAATGTGGTCATTTTTCTGTTCTGCTTACTTCTGGGTCCCTAGTAGCTCCCAGTTGACACTCAATAAATAACTGATGAATGAATGAATTTGGGGAAACTTGGAAACTTTGGTTTCTTTTCTCTGAGAAATGGGTTAATAATACCCAGCTCACAGAGTCACTGGAGAGATGAGTTTAATTGAAACAGCGTGGATACATCAATCTTACCACCTGGAATACACTCAGACCCTATAAGCCTATTTTTTAAATTCAGTGACACAAACAGCCACAAGTACAACTGGGACAGAATGCTTCCTGGATCTTCAAAACACAAATAGGTAGAATGATAATATTTTTACTCCCTTGCCTGCAAAGCCCTAATGTTTTCCAAGCATTTGGTATAGCTTTTTTAATATGAGCGACAAAAATCAAATTTGCAATTCAAGCCCAAGTCCAAGTGCTAATGCATTCATGTCCTAGATTGTACAAAAGCAGAGGCTAGGTGGTTGAAGTTCAAATCAAATCCATTTGCAGCACGACACCTGAATGGAGCTGCCGAGTTGATTCTTTTCCCCAGGGGCCTCACATTCTCTATCGCTGGCCCCTTTTAACCCAAATCTTGCTATATAAATATATATTTCTTGTATCAGCATTCTGGAGTATGAGAAAGACACCATTGACGATGCTGTGCTATGGTTATTATGTTTTGTTTGGTTGTGTCTAAAATACCAGAGCAATCTTCACATCAATTCTGTCTGTCTCATCGTCCTTTGTTTTATGGAAAGGTGGTCTGAGAGTCTAACTCTCTGTTTATGTACCCTGTGGGAAACAGAAGGAGCATAGAGAGGAAGACATGGGACCAGCTGTGTGTTTGGGAGGGCTGGCAAATTCTCAGTGAGCACGAGAGTGACTGGCACTGTAATACCCAGCCCTCCACCAAAGGACTCATCCCAAACAGCAGATCTTAGCAAGCTGGAAGCTTCTTAGTGCGCCTGTACCCTGCTGCAAGAATCACAGAAACTTCCCTGAGCACCAGCCCCTCACTTCTGTACGACCATATTACTTATAAATGTCTCCCATTCAGGGAAGCAGTGGCACCTGGAGCTGAAGTTCATTCATCGCCTGGGACAATATAAGCCTCTGTCAGGTGGCAAGTACTGTGCAGGAAACAATCCCTCCATCAGGGCTCCAGGGCGGGCTGCTGTCTATGGTGAGGTGATGGTTCGTGTTTCTGTGTGTGTGTGTGAGAGAGAGAGAGAGAGAGAGAGAGAGAGAGAGAGAGAGAGAGAGAGAGACAGAGAGAGACAGAGAGAGATGGGGGCGGGGGGGAGAAAGAGAGAGGGAGAAAAAGAGAAGAATGGTGTATGTGTGTATGTGTGTGTGAGACAGAGAGAGAGAGGAGAGAGGGAGGGAGAAAAAGAGAAGAATGGGGTGTGTGTGTGTGTGAGACACCCAGATCAGTAGAAATAAGAAGAGCAGTGGTTTGGAGTTATAAAGCACTTTCAGACAGGATTATTCTCATCTCACAGCAGACCTTTGGGGCAGGCCAGTGCTGGCTGTCCAGGGAAAGGGGCAGTGTTCTGGAGGAGGTGGATGGAGAGGGTGGGTGGATGTCACCCATAATTCAATAAGCATGGTGGAGATCACCAGACCTTTGCTGACATAGTAAACAGCCATTCCTAGCAGTTTCTTGAGGTGTCCCCTGGACCAGAGTGTCCATGGTAAAGGGATCTTTTCTCCTTTAGACTAAAGCTGT